GGGTGGCGGGGGTGGTCATGGCTGACCAGGAATCCTCCACCGAGTCTGATCTCTCAGTTCTGATGACGTTCTCCAAGTCCCGAATGGCGTCCCTCACGTCAAGGTCAGAGGTGAAACTTTCAGACCGGGCCCTGTCTCTGTCTCCACTCACCAACGTGTCCGAACTATCACAGCGCTCCACATTGCTCGTCCTCACTCCCACGACTGGAGGAGACAGCGGGTCACGAGAGATGGGGGGAGATACAGGGTCACGTGATGGTAGTGGGAAATCCTGTGACGTAACGCCCGTGTCATCCTTGTGTGTGTCCTTGTGTGTGTCTTTGTGTGTGTTCTTGTGCTGATCTGAGAGCGCCTGTGTCCTATCCTTGAGGTCGTCTCTCTCTGACAGCGCCTGTGTCGTGTCGTGTGTCGTGTCGTGATCCGAGAGCGCCCGTGTCGTGTCGTGTGTCGTGTCGTGATCTGACAGCGCCCGTGTCGTGTCGTCTGAGAGTGTCGTGTCGTTGTGGTGAACTAGGAGAGGCGACGGGTCCGGCTGGTTTTCCACAGCTCCTCCACACAGCTGAAGTGGCGGGGAGAGGGAGGTTGGCGGGTGCCCTGCTCCCTGAGTGTGCGCCGGGCGGGAGTGAGCGGGGGGAGAAGATGAGTGCTCACCACCTACGTCACTGGTGTGAGTGTCTGTGTGAGAGTCTGTGTGAGGGTCTGTGTGAGGGCGAGAGAGAGCCGTGTGGGCCTGCACAAAGTAACTGCTAGACCCCAGCACTAACTGTCCGATACTGCTCCTCCTCGCCTCTCGCCTCTCGCCCTCACGGCCCAGGAGATGAGGCTCAAACCCTGGCCCACTTGTCCCCACGACCTCCGCCGAGCACTCCACCACTTCCGCTGTGTTTATCTTGGCAGACAAGTCCCTCTCCTCCTCCGCCTCTCCTCCCCCCTCCCTCCCCCCGACCCTGGTAGAGTTGTCACTCAGCTCAAAGTGTGGCTGACAAGGTCCACGGTTTGAATCCCCGATCTCCCCCTCCCCCACCTCTGTGACACTGGGGTAGTGGGGGGAACTGGACATGACGTCACTGATCCTCCCCTCACTCACAGACGTGGGGAGATAACTCTCGTGTGTCTCCTCTGATGGCGTGAGGCACGTGTGTGGGTGAGCGGTGTGTGAGTCGGTGGGCGGTGGGCGGGTGGGTCCCGGACCACTCACTCTCGACAAAGGAGACGCTGGGGCGTGTGGCGGGTGGATGGCGTGCACGTGAGTGCTGGGTCTATCAGCGCGCGTGGGAGGTGAGGAGGGTGTGGGTGGGGGTGGGGGGGA